TATTTATTTATTTATTTATTAAAGACGCTCCCTTCATCCACCGACCAGACGCGACAATGACAACAGTGTCGCATGCCGGGCAGCACGCACGCAGGGCGGGCTTGTGATTTCGGTGTCTTCCGCTGTCACCGTGGACAAAGCGACAGCCTGTTGTTGTCAACAAATTGTGTTGTTGTCCTCGAAATACCAGCGGCGGTGAAGCTCAGCAGGCAGACAGGTGGATATTGTGTAACACTGTAACATGATCATTATAGTATTCTGGAGGCCGAATCGATGTTTATCTCCGTTTTAAAGCGAATAAAACCATAACAGAGACGGTTCAGACGTGAAGGACGCACACAAAGACCTGTTTTTTTTTATTTTTTATGAATCTCTCCATCATTAGTATCACTGCCATCATGTAATCACGTCTTCATCGAGCCGCTCCCATTCCGTCCATCTGGGCTGCAGAGACAACAACAACAATCAGCACATCTAGTTTATTTTCATTCATAAAGTATGTGAATAAACAACAGGCGGTCTGCTGGCTCTCCTGCAGAACAAAGAGGGGAGGGGGGGGGAGAACGTGGATTTTGTAGTCGTGAGTGGGAAGATGCTCCTGTAATGAGCAGAAACTGTGGTGAGGTAAACTCCTCAGTTAAGGCAGATGTTATTTTATTTTAATTATACATCTATATGAGTCAAATTCATAGCGCAGGCTGAGTCATAGTAAGGAACCTGTAGGATGATGGAGTCAATGAACCTGTTGTGATGCCAGAAGTGCAGTACTACCTATGTGCAGCTGAATATCATTACTTCCTGCAAGGACACAGCTCTGGAAATGCTGTTTGTTTGTTGAAACAATGAGTTTTAATGGGTTTAGTCTATCAACAGGAAACTGATCTGTTGCCATTTGGATCATTTATTAAATGTTTGAGTTGTGTTTCAAGTAAAAATGTCAAATATTACATTGTTCAGCTTCTCAAGTTGTGAGTATTCTCCTCTTTTCTCTCGTCTTTTGTGTTAGTAAGACTAAATATCTTTGGGAATTTCACTGCCACTCAACGATCTGGGAAAGCCGGATGGACATTTTCCACAACACAAATGTATCGTCAAGAAAGAGACATGAAGAATAGCACTGTAGCTCAAATAAAGACTTCATCTTCTTATGGGACCGACAAATAGCTGCTCTGTAATGAAACTCCAGCTCTAATACCTGTATCAGGTGGTGACACACACACACACTGTATATGTATATTAAACGTGGCAGAGGCCGAACCATAAATCCATGGTTGTTGGTTGACTGGATGCTATTGGCTTTGTAATGAACAGTTCCAGTAAACCTGCTCCTGGTACTTCCTGCACCGATCGTGTTGCCTGCTGCCGACAAAGAGATCAACAAATACACAGCGGTCCTGAGTCTGTGCTGTCCGTACACTTACAGTGATTAGAAGCTGATATTAAAAGGTCATGTCGGTTAGAGCTGCAATATTAAGTCCATTCATTTGGAGTAGTTACCTGAACTGTTAAATGATTGGCTACTATTTTGACAATCGATTAATCGTTTTGAGAAAATAGAAAAGTCCAAATGATCTGACTTCAGCTTCTAAAGTGTGAATATTTTCTGGTTTCTTCCTTCCTTCCTTATTTACTGTTTGACAGTAAATAACCCCTTTGGAAAACGTTGATCAGCATTTTTCCCTATTTTCTTACATTTTCTGGACCAAACTACTTATTGATTAAATTGAGAAAATGATGAACAGATTATTTGATAATGAAAATTATGTTTTGTTAACAGAATCTAACAACATTTGATAAAAAAAAACCTAAGTTAATAATACAAATCCCCAAATCAGAGTTTCGAACTTCAGTACTTTTCGTGACGACTAATATTCAGATTCAGTATCAGATTCTGGTTTACTTATATGATCCACAGCCTGACTGAAATTGATCCCTTGATGCTGATAATGATACATTTTGAGTTTAAATAACTGTGATGATGATATGTTGGCAGATTGTAATAGTTTTTTTTTTTTTACATAAACAAATAACACAAACCATCGTGATACAGATCTGTTTGTTTTATCTTTAATTGTAACCGCGATACACACTGAGCATACTAACGTTTACAGTTGAAAACAAATCAACTTGTCAGCGCCCTCCGGTGGACAACATGTGAAATGGCCGACATGCTCCGATACCAGTGTATCTGCAGTAAGCTAATGTTAGCCTAGCTCTAATACAATAGCATTTGTATCTGTTTCAGTCATCTGTAGCCTTGGTACCATAGCTCAAGTGTCATATTGGCTCGGTAGCAAACATTTTCAAACAGTACCCTGACCTATTTGGCACACCGTTGTTTAACAGCACTCTCTGATCAGGTGTCACAACTCCGCTTACACTGGATCGGACTCTAATGCAGACAAAGCAGGCAGCAGGATGACTTCAGTGATTTCATTGTGTTGCAGCTTCCAGAACGGTAGGCAGGCAACAAACCGGTAGCACGCAGACAGACAGACAACCAACTAGGCAACTATAGGAACATAAAAGCAGGATGGACTGACAAAGACACAAAGGATCTGGTGTATTGAGTAGTGAGTGGCTGATGCAAGGAGTTGCAGGTGAGGAGATGGGCGGAGTCAGCCAGGTAACTGCAGGGCTGATGAGGTGGGCAGGGAGTAGGGATAGGAATTGATACCAATACCATTATTGATTCTGCTTATCGGTCTGATTCTTTGTTGATTCCTGACATCATGTTAGGTCTACACCGGTTTTCATCGTCAATGCAACAGTTGAATTGTCTGTTGACGGAGGAAAGACAGGGTCACCTGGTCATTTTGTCGGACATAAGCCTTAAAATGTACTCATGGACGGCTCCAAAATCTTAACTCTCTCGTTTTATTGAGTTTTCACCGTTTTATCAATAACCCCACGGAACGAAAGTACATAGGTTCGTTGCTATGGAGACAGTGTCTCCTCTAGTTGCATTGGTTAGCACCAGAACATTGGAAGTAGTGGCAAGTTTCAATTTGTCTCGTTGCGAAGCTTTAGTCAGAACTAATAGTAATTTGAGTTTCTTTGTGAAATGAGGCCTCGCTTTGAACTTCTTCTTCTCTACCACGACTCCTTCTTGTTGCAAGTTTAGGTAGAGTTTGACGCCATTGCAATGACCAACTGTCAGAAAAACATGCTGGCATTGATAAACTTGTGGAACTAGCGGATCTGGAACTGGTTCTTAATTCCCATCCCTAGAGGGAAAGGTTGGATGACTGGGAATAGGGGTGTAAGAAAATTCTATTTTGTGATTCTCAAAAACACTATCAATCACATTTAAATGAGCGATGCACTGGAATAGGCACTGGAACAATTTGGTTATTTGTTTGTTGTGTAAGTATTCGGTTTTCAGTTTTTGGATTTGGATGTCCTTGGTTTCATCTGATACTCAAAGATCGGGTATAGGGAAGGAAATCAGATATTATCGGAACATCTCTAACAGAGAGGCAGACTGGGACATTAGGCTTCTGCTAGTGGCTGCGTCTTAGCACATATAACTAAAAAGAATTATGTAACGATGGGTATTTCTAGGAAACATGGGGAGAGATGCCCTAGAAAACAGTAGAGACACTCATAAGATCAAAAATCCAGATTTAATTTTGGCACCCAGCAAAGTGATCTTCTGCTGCCGTTCAGGGTTCTTGCAGTGAAATCTAAAATATCCTAAATTGCACAAATATCAGAGATCATTTTCAGGTTTCGAGTGTCAAATTTGTCGGAACACCCGATGAAGAAACAACAGTTACAGGAAATGTAATTTTCAAACATATTTTGCTGTGCTGTAATGTAATAGAAGCTTTTACAGAGCAGCTCTTAATCTCACTTTTATGGATTCATGGTGGAGGAGCGATTCAGGGATGCCCCTGAGAAACACTGTGTCTCTGTGCAGTCCATCATTTGGCTCCAGCCACTGCCAGGAGAGTGGTGGAGGAGGGAGAGCGGGACGGGATACAAGCACATTACTGTACCTCAGTGCTACAACAAAATCAATCTGAATATGCCAATCCGCCCGGCCAAGTCTCCAAACAAAGTGCTGGCACTCAGCTGAGGCTGATCAGACAACGCCGTCGCCTTGAAAGAGAGACTCTAATGTGCTCTCAGCTTTAGGATTTCTTTTGAAGAAGAGATTTTGATATCTGATGAAGAAATTATGTTCACTGATATTTCTAAAGAACATAATTTAGCCATATATGGTGGGGTAATTAGTCAAATATGTTACCATTAAAGTATATCAGACTGTCCAAACAGGTGGAAAGGGCATTGTAGTGTAATGTGGTTTTACTCAGGCAGGGCGAGGTGGTATTGATTGTTGATAAAAGCCTGCACCATGTCCACTATTTCCACCACTGGGACCCACTAAGCCTTTCTGCTGATATATCCTATTAGTTGGACCCTGTTACAACTTAAATTGGGTAGTTGGCCGGTATAATAAGATCCAAACAAATGCACTGATTAACACGGTATATATATGGTGCAGTTCACACCCTTATTCAGTCACACTGCACAAGAAAAAGATAGCTTTGTCCTTAAAAAAATATTCATTAACGTCTCTTATCACGAGATCCCATAGGGAATTGGGCCCATGGCCCATTTTAGGCAACGATCTATAGTTTAAAGCAACTTTTTCAGTTCAGGACAAAATTAAATCTAGCATTGTTGAAGTATTAAAATAATAATTTATTTAAAAATGTAGGAAAATGTATTACATATTAGGTTCAGGTTGATTATTAACACATGTGGACATGAAATGCAGGTGTTATTACATAGTGAAGTTAAAATGCATTACATAATGTGTCGTTAAGGATACTACGATGGTGATACGATCATCATCATTTGTGTCATCACTGACAGCTGTTGAGTTGCTCAGTGGTCATTTCACATTGTGGGATTGTTAGCATAAAGTGGTGTACCAAGCCCCCCCCAAGAAGAACGCCGGGCTTTGAAGCCAACTTGACATTGTGGCCAAACCGTGTAAAACGGCGTCATAACCCCAGCGAAATGACTATAATTTATTATCAGAATTTGATCCATTCAATCAGGTAACATTTTGAAAGTTTAGAAGAGACTATACTTTGGATACATTTACACACTCAGCTTTCAGATCTTAAAAAAAACACTAAATACAGTGTTTTTATATATTAAATAGGGAGTGGTTTCGATTGGTGTGTGGAAAGAAGCAAGGTCATCTTTTAACTGGAAAAAAACCCTGTGCTACTGTATATATGTATATTCTCCTACAAGATAGTAACCCATTCTTGACAATAAAGGGGAAAAAGTACCACTCCAATAATACAATAGAGTTTTAAAAATGATTATCTGTGGGCAAAGTCAATAGGCCCCTGGCACTTTGATGAAGTAGTCAGTAAAACATTCCCCTAAATGGATTATAACTTTATTTTCCAAACCCTTACACTGTTCTCAGATCAGTCGTAGTCAGCACTATGAAACCACCGTGTGCAGCTCAGGGACACACTTAAGGTGTGGTTGTTTGCTACGAGGAACACTTTGGCTCTTTGTGAAGCTGCTCTTAAATAATGGATGTTGTGGGACTGCGGATCCCAGGGTGAGGAGGCTGGGACAGGGCAGGTAAATAGAAGAGAGCCATTGGCTGCGAAACTCACTTGAACCTAATGTGCCTCTGCATTGGGTTCTGTCGACAAGCACAGGACAATGTGAACAATGCCGCTCAGACACTTCAGTACAGTCACTTCCACTTCCTCATACACAGATGCACATGCTGCATTGTAAGTGCTCGTACTGTACATGTAAGCATTTACTATAAGCATTTACTCAATCTTTCATGCACCCCAGCGTGTGTCTAAATATACACGGACACGTTCTGAATAAAAAATAAAAAGGGAATAATATGAATGTAGCTGATTTGTGTCTGTGCCCTGCAGCTGTCACACAAGCAGATGGCCCGCTTCCTCCCTCCTCCTATGGCCATAAAGCAAAATGGTGGCAGGGAGGATTTTTTATTAGTTCTTGCAGAGGGGGGCTTTGCAGCCACCTCCTCTAGGGAGCCGTCCAGGGTCACCTAGCCTCGCCTCGCCAGCCTCATATTGACTGTAAGCGGGAGAGCATTTTACATGAAGATTTATGATTCTTGGGTCTGACTAAAAGTAAAGCAAACGGAGACTAGACACCTTTAGCTTTTATAGACTTTAAAACATTGCTTTTTGTTTTTTACACCATATGTTTGGCATTATACGGGTAATCACAGCTTTGATATAATTCAGATTTTTGGGCATCTTTTTAACAAAGAACTCATCTCTGTTAGTTTTAATGCATTTATTAGTGGACTGGAGATAAGAAGAACAGGCTGACAAATGTAGATGCATATACACTATGGTTCTGGTCGGAAGTCATTATTTGTCTCTAGTAGCTGTAGAACAACAATATGGTGCGTTTTTTGTTGTTTAAACATAAATTCTGTACAGCTAATTAGTGACACTAAATGTTCCATACAACTTTAATATAACCTACACAAAAGAGGCGTTTTTATCTAGAATCAATGGCTAGCGCCTTTGGCCAGGTTGGATCGTAGCAGTGGACACAGGCATTGAGCCAGGCAGGTCGGAGCAGCCAAAAGCCCGTATTCCTTTTGTTCTGGTTTTGTTTGGACCTCTTCTCAGGACCGTGTGGGTTCGGACAGCCTGTTTGATTGAAATATCCTGCATGTTTTTTTGAAAATGTTAAGGAAGGAGAACAAACACTTTTAGAGTCTTTTTTCCACAGGGGACATTTTGACAACAACAGGTGTACAAAATAAAATCCGCTCTGCTGAACCAGAGGTCTAATCAACCAAGTGAAAGCACCTGTGTGAGCCGTTAAGACGCTGCCCTTTCGTCAGGTTTACTGTGGTGGTATGAGCCCGAAATAAACAGTTTTTGTTATGATTTAATTGCAATAAACGGATCAAATGGATGCAGAAATAACATCATCATAATGCTGATTTGCAAAACTTTTGAATTATTTTTTTTTGTGTTTGATGTTATTTGGGTTTAGTTGTTACTTGCAGCTTTACTAGGAGACTGTAGGTACTTCATTTGGGATAATGTATGAAAATACACATTGGAGCACTGTTTTAAAGCACCAACATGCAGAACTGCTTTTATACACCTCCTAGCTGATATACAGTACTCGGCTGTGTATCGAGATGGTTTGATACTGCCAGCACAGTGTTAAACTAAAACGCATGTCGTGAAAGATGCAACCTACATTGTCAAAATATCACTTTAAAATAAGTTGTGCTGATGCACTCCTTTGCCGTATCTGTCAGCTTTTATTATTAGTGCTGTGATTTGTCTTAGATGTCTTGTTCTGCTGCTGTATACTCATCATTTTGTGTTGCAAGAGAACAAAAAAGTCAACAGTGGCACTCTTACTAGTGTACAAACTTTGTTTCAGTGCAGCAGACTTGTCACAGACATCAGCAACTTGCTAAAGTGATTTAAATGAATGGGTTTTTCCACTCTGATCCTTAATCTCCCCACCCAGGTTCGTAGCTCAGAATACAATGCGTCTGCAGAAACTCGGAGTGACGCACGTCCTCAACGTGGCGGAGGGCACCTCCTTCATGCACGTCAACACCAGTGTGGAGTTCTACGCCGGCACGGGGATCACGTACCACGGTATCCAGGCCAATGACACCGAGCAGTTCAACCTCAGTGCCTTCTTTGAGGAGGGGGCTGACTTTATCGACAAGGCCCTAGCACACAATAATGGCAAAGGTGAGTTTATTTTACTCTACGGACAGGGTCCCCACATGCCTGGAAAAACTGGAAGTTTAGGGATCAGTTTTCCAGTCATAGGACATAGTGGAGCATTTGGAGTGATTAAGATGATTTGAAATAAAAGTTAATATCAAGTTTAAGAGAGGGACACTAAATATTGTCTTGGATAATGCCTCAAAGGATGTCTTAGGATGTCTATGAACGTAATAATTCATTATCACCAACAATCGGTCAGGTCTATTTCTGTGCATTTACGTGGGAATGTACTACTGCACAAAGGGCCCAGATCTGTCTCTGCTATTCACTCTGTCTTGGCCACGCCCCAGCTCCAAGTTTGAGTGGACACACCTGCACTCAGCTAGCTCTAATGGAGCTGTCTGCTGGGCCTATAAACTGCAGTCCACACATACACATACACACACACACACATACATACACACACACACACACACACATACTGGTTTCCATCTGCAATGGGGACCAAGTTTTTGATCATCACTTGCGGGGACCACCCTTTCTAGAGGTCCTAGAGGTATGAAAAAAATCAGGT